ATTCATATGCAAATGACTAATCTGTGAAACAAACAGGGGCGGAGACAAACCACTCGAATGTTTGGAAACACTCATTGTGTGTCAGATAGCTACTGATAACACATCCTAACATTGCTTTGTCTTGAGTTTATCTTTGAAACTTATAGGCACACAGATTAAACCTGTATTGTTGATTTTGGAAAACACTACTGAGGCTGCCTTGCTTCCCTTCAGAAAATATACATTTTAACCAACTTACATGGCATTCTATGTTATGTTGACTTTATCATATGAAAGTTTATAGTGCATTTCATCAATTAATAAATAAATGTGAAAATCGTTATTTTCAACACAAATAATAGTCTCGCTACCTTAAAGTACGGCAACACAGATGATAATGGTCGTTAACTACTGTTAGCAATAACTATCAGGAAAACAACTGACCATGTTCAGTGGAATCTACAGCGGTAATTGAAAGACCAATTATTTTAATTTAGATTTGATTTGTGTATGTCCATCTCGTCATTGTAAGTCTGCATTCACTACACGTTAGTTCAACCTATCGTTTTGACTGTGTGTTACAGCGTAACAATGAGCGTCTGGTTGTAGTGGCGGGCGCATTTGCTGAAGTGATTCGTATTTATATGTTAATATATATACCTATAAATTATATTACATGTAACAGGACATGACATCACAAATCCTCCACCAAGAAGACATGTGTTATGAACTGATCTTTACTTTTCAAATTATAGGGCAAAAAGCAAATTGCATTGGGACGATACATATTGTACTCAGAAAAAAGGATTTATTTGCCAATATCCAGGTAAGCAGTCATAGTTTAATAATTAGTTCAAGTTTAATTGAACACTACATAGAGGTTATATAAATAAAATTAAAACACGCAAATCGCAATACTAACTGCATTTATCTTGAGTTAAGACAAATCTAGACAATACGACATGGTTCCCAGAGCATATTATATTTGTATACATACGCGTGAGACTGGTGTGGCAAGCTGAAACCAGTGAATAGCGTCAAGACTAAGCAATTTATTTTATACTATTATTATAGGGGACTGTCCTCCTGAGTGCGATCAGTGTGCTGTGCTGTAAATACGACACATCTAATTGGTTGTTGATGGTCACGTGTCACTGAATCATCTGTGCTTCCTTCATGTCATTTATGTGAACGCTTTGTTTTCGTAGACCACGACAAGCTCGACAAGTGAACCATTTAGTTACTATAAGTATGTTACTTAGTGAAAGTATTATATAACAAGTATGCTTACAGTTTTAATGTACAGCAATTATCTAATCATATCTTTAAATGTGGTTTGGATTTGAAATCTCTTATTGTCAACAGCAAGCACGGGAAATAAAATATATGTGCAGTGAATATTTGTAAATAAAATACAAGTTCTATAATATTAGGGAATACACGTATAGAAAGAGACATTAGAGTCTCGCAAGAATGTATTGTCCATTTCAGTACAGATGTAAACAAATTCTGTCATGACATAACAGAATTCCTATTTTTCGACAGTAAACGACACTGAAATGTGTAAGCTATTTCAAATCATAACAAATGCATGTTATATAATGTAGTTGTTATGTTTTATTGCGTCAGTCATTCCAGGAAGTATTACTCTGGAACAGCATCGGTTAATACAAAACGCTGTCAGTACGCCAATTTGAATCTGATTTAAAAACCAAAATGACGAGCATTAAAGTCCCTTCAAGTTAAATCGTATACCAAGATTGATGGCAGTCAATATATGACCAAGATCCGTTTCGGAATGGCAGAGAAATTGTCGATTTTGGTGCATTTTAAACATTAAAACGAACACCATTCGGTCATCTTGAATTGATCGTCAAACACATGTATATACGACGCGATGCATGATATATGTAAAATTTGAATGTGATTGGCCGAGGCATCTCAGAGATATGGTTCTGGAATATTATTCGTTAAACCAAAATGAGTTCCCGACGTTTTTTTTTTATTCCGATCCCCCAAAAAATGTATGTACTAAGTTTGAACGAAATCCATCTATACATGACCGAGGTCTGGTTCCAGAGTTCTGGTGCCATCTTGAATCGGATTCTGAAACGAGTGCACGTGCACGTCTACTTAGATGTATGATACATGTGTGAATAGTGAATGCGATGAGCCTCGGTACGTGTGAGATACAGAAGCACGCAAGTTCCCTGAGATCATTCCATAAGTTACTGTTTTTGAATTGTATCCAAACGGGAGCCGCAAGGACCATAACATGTACACATCTCGTATAGTCTAGAGTAGGGAGGTGCCCCTGTGTGCTAAAAAGTGTGACAATTTTTATACCTGGATAGTGGCAAAATCCGGGTTGATCTATATATGAATCTTAGGCCGGGATTTGAGATGGAGATAATCGCTCATATACGAACCCATTAGTATACCAAATCGGAAAAATGTAAACGATATTTATACCTATCTTGACCAGAAATAAGACCGACACCTAAAATCAGGGGCACGTCCACATTAGACAAGTTCTATGTATTGTCCCCGATCTAGAGAACACCAAATGTTGCTGCACGAATACGTTAGATACGTTGATTTGAACATGTGAGCTTATGGTGATTGGGATGTTCACCTCACTTTGGATCTCATACAACTAATAACGATCAGTTGCATCAAGTGAATTAATGTAGTTATTGTACGCACACACCGGATATGTCTAATTTACCCGACATCGAATCTAAATCCGTGGCATGCGATATAGTATAATTTTCTATTAAAACATGTGTTTAAAAGCTGGTCTCTGCGAATTCGGGAGGGGGTAGGGGGTGGGGTTCGTCATTTTTTGTTTAGTTAATACGCATGCCTTTATGACAAAGAGGGTTGGAACACATTAAACATTGATACTATCTAAATGCAGAAACAATTCGGGGATATGCAACACATTAAACATTGATACTATCTAAATGCAGGAACAATTCGGGGATATGCAACACGCTATCATAATGGCATAATGCTATGTAGGAGAGCAAATGGTAGACGAACTATAAATAAGCCCCTGTGAACTAAATCCATGCATATTCAATTGAAGGAGCAAAGTGACTGTTAAAATAATGTGAGCATACAATTTTCCTCAGAACCAATCTCAACATTTCTACGAAGTTTGAATAAAAAACCAATACAGTAAATTTGTATCTGCATGTCATGTTGTGTTATACGCAACTTTAAGAATACTAGAAATGAATAAACACAAGTCAAATTTAAATACAAAGTAGAATGTGCATCGGTAGATTAAAAACAATTCAAGACAATTTCCATAAATCATAATGATCTTAGTTAATGGGAATACCATTTACAATTTACTTCTTACAAAGTTGAAATATGTATTTCCTACCACACTTACTTTTCTAACTTGTACTGGTTACCAGCATTACATACATACATCAAAATATCGCTTTTATAGTGTATGTATTTGGAAGAATATGGGGACAATCTAGTTTTAACGTAATGGTACGTTCCTTCGTTGCCTGGCAACGTCGGGCATCCCATGAAAGGCAAATACTCATAATCAGTTTGCTCCTATTAAATATTAAAAGTCCTGTTTAATATCCTGCTACCAAAACGTGGTCTACGGTTGCTTTATCGCAGAATGCCATGAAGTTGTCCGGAGCTCTTAATCACGCATTGAGTTGAATTGCTATGTTGTTCAAAGGAGACAGTTTTCTGAGCATCAACAGTATCATCAAGTACATGTCTCAAACACTAATTTTTTGATGTTCAGTCATCTGGTGAAAACAATTATCGACAGCTTTAACGATAAAACTTTGGTAGATAGTAATTGGCTAGTTATGACATAAAACAAAAATAAAACATACAATGCCACTCATAATACAAGATAAGCAGTTATCGGGAACAATGCTGGTCATAAAACAGCCATTCTTACTATAATATATTCATAAACAGCCATAATTACTATTGAATATCCATAAAACTGCCATCATTACCATAGAATATCCATAAACAGCCATTATTACCATATAATATCCATAAAACAGCCATCATTACCATAGAATATCCATAAAACAGCCATCATTAACACAGAATATTTATAAAACAGCCAT